GGCGGGCAGGGCAGAGGGCTTGGAGGAAGGTGTGGAGACACAGAGAAGAGGCACAGGCAGAGGAGAAGGGTGAGGCCGGAGGGCCAGGCAGAGCCCGGCAGGCCGGGAGAGAATGCACCTCCTGAGGCTGGGAGCAACTGTGGAGGCAGAAGCTGAGAGGCCAGTGTCCACAAGGAGCCCGTCGCTCCCCGTCCCCCCCTACCAGCCAGACCACGGGCACAAGGGACAAGATGGCCACACAGGGATCCAAGCAGGGACTTCCAGCCCAGCCACCATCAAAGGGGCAGAGTGGATGGACAGCAGGGCCCGCAGGACAGATGGTCAGGAAGTGACGGAGGAGACTGGCCGTGTGTGGCGCTGTGGCCCTCAGAGGGGACCCGGGGGGAGCTCAGCCCAGGCCCCTCCCCCCCAGCACTGCCATGCCATCTGGAAACACGGCCCAGGGGAAGGCCCTGGCTCTCTGCCCTCCCCCTCCAGGATCCTGCCACGGGGGCGGGACTTCCCGTGTGGGCCCAGGGGTCACCCACCCACACACAGAAATCCCACAGCCGGCCGAGCGCAGCCTCCCTCACCGCTTGCCTTCCCATCCCCCACCCAGACTCCCCAGGGCTCCTGGGCTGGTCCTCCAGGGCTGCTGCCTCCACGGTGGCCATGGTCCGGCCCCCTCCAGAGTTCAGGACCCACAGGACAGGCTCCTGGCAAAGGTGGGGCTGAGCTGTGCCCCGCCTCCAGGCTCCTCCCCGCTCCCCCCAGCGTCAGCTGTCTTCAGAGCCTGGGGTCCCCCTTCACTCAGCGAGCGTGAACACCTCGTCCCGGGAGGGGCTGCATCAGGCACACACCAGAGCTTCTGAGCCAACGCCAGGCACCCGGCAGTGCCCTGCGGCCTGCAGCCCCGCACCACCTATGGGGGGCGGAGCCTTGCAGACTCCCAGGGGTCCCTGGCTGCAGATCTCAGCCAGCTGAGTCACCCTGCTCAGATGCTCCCCGAGTGGACACCAGCAGGAGACCCCAAGCCCAGCTCCACCCCTCTCCAAGTGCACCAGCCATGGAGAAGCAAGGAAAACCAAAAGAATTGAAAGCAGGGCTTACAGCGCCGTATCGCAGCCCATTCACATTCTACACAAGAGGCAGTGGAGTATTACACAGTCTTTAAAAAGGAAGTTCAAGCTGGGGCACTGGTGGCTCTGGCTTATAATCCCAGCTACTCAGGAGGCTGAGATCTGAGGATCTCAGTTCAAAGCCAGCCCAGGCAGGAACACCTGTCTGTGAAATTCTTATCTCCAATAAACCATTAGAAAACTGGAAGTGGCGCTGTGGCTCAAGTGGTAGAGTACTGGCCTTGAGCTGAAGAGCTGAGGGACAGCGCCCAGGCCCAGAGTTTAAGTCCCACACGCTGTAACACCAGGAAGCCCCCAGTGAACCCCAAGGTCATCGTGCTCGGTGAGACACCCCAGTCCATGTGCTTCTATTTACACGAGGTCCCTGGGCTGTCACATGGGGACAGGAAGCAGGGTGGGGCTGCAGGGTCCAGGGAGGAGGGATGGGGACTGGTTTATGGGGGCAGAGTTCCTGTCTGGAATGTGGAAAGTTCTGGACATGGATGGTGGTGACCACATAACCACGAGAGGTGTGCGGTGCCAATGAGCTCTAGCTAGAAAACGGCGAACACAGTCCACTGCACGCAGCGTGGACAGGTAATAAAAGTAGAATAACCAGCTTCTTGGCGGCGTCCAACAACCACTGCCGAGTCCTGAGCCCTGCCCCTGGGGTCAGCTCAGCTTCCAAGGTCCTGCGGCTCGGCCTGCGGGGCTGGGGACCGGCAGCAGGCTTGGGGGACGGGGTGTGCATGCCTCCGAGAAGGCCGCAGTGCCCCTTAGTCCCCCCTCCCCGGCAGAGGCCACGGTGTGGCCAGCATTGACCAAGAGGCCTGGAATCGCACATACCGTTTCCAGCTGTCTGCTGCCGTCCCCTCCCTGTGCCCGTGTCTCCGTCTACCATCCTGCATTTTGGGGTGCTTTTGTCTCCCCCCTGCGTCACCCCCGCCCACCCTTGCAGCCCCCAAGTGTGCAGGGCTTCTCTACTCACGCTCCGGGTGCCTGGGCGGGCCCTCGGCGGCAGGGAGCTTGGGCTCCAGCTGGCTCTGCAGCTGGGACATGGGGAGCTCGGAACTCTCCAGGGTCTGTGGCGGGAGGGGAGAGGCGGGAGCCTCGGCTGGCTTGGGCATCTGGATCTCCATCCGCTTCGGGGCTGCGTCGACGGCGGCGGGCGCCTCCATCCTGCGGTGGGCTGACTCCTGGGCCTTGACCAGGGTGATCTCCGTCCTGCGAGGGGTCGGCTCTGGCGTCTTGTGGCCCAGCCCTTCAGCCCTCTTGAGCCCAAATCGGGAGGGGCCGGCGGCCCCGGCATTCTCCACCTGCTTGGAGGAGATGTCGATGGAGAGCTCGGTGCGTCGAGACACAGGCTCGGGGGCCTTGGAGCCGGGGAGGTCCACCCTCCGCAGCGATGCCTTGGGCGAGCGCTGGCTCAGGGAGTCCACATGGCGGCCCGCGGGGTCCGAGTTCTTCACACCCAGGTCTTGGAACTTGTGGGTGGAGCTGGCCACCGTGGAGCGGAGAAGGGGAGTCTGGACTCTCCAGGGTGGGGTGGAGTTGGGCGGCTCGACTTCCTCCACCTCAAAGGATCTCTTCAAGGCTGAAAGACAGGGAGGGGACGTGGTGAGCGGTGAGGGGCAGGGGGTGAGCCAGGGACGGGCCACACGGGGCTGGTGGAGGCACGGAGGGCAGGAAGCTGGTAAGGTTCCCCCCCCTCCTCTCTCTCTCTCTCTCTCTCTCACACACACACACACACACACACGCACACACGCATGCAGACACCATGGGCCACAGCGCACCCCACCAGGACAAGGCCTACGCTTGAAGATTCACGCAGGAAAGGCAGCCCGGCCATGGCCCCCACAGCAGAGCCTGGGCTGACGGCCCACGGCCTCCCCCCCAGAGGCATGGCACGGCCAGACTAAGGGTCACTGAACACCAGCGCCAAGGCTCTACCCTCTCCTGGCACTTCGTCTCCATTGGGCTCAGGGCCCCGACTCCCCGCCCCGACTCCCACCCATGGCCCCGCGGCCACCTGGGCAGGGCCTGCTCCCCCCGCCCATCCCCCGTCCCTGCGCCAAATGAGAACCAGCTGTTGGGGCACAGAGTACGCGCACGCACCACAGGAAGGGGCCCACATAGCGGGAACACTTAACAACTCCTTCCTGGGGGGGACCCAGCATCTTGGCCCCCCCACCTTCCCGGCTCACCAGAACCCTGGGCTTCATGGCCCGCCCCCAGCAGTAGATTGGGAGATGCTTTGGGGCGGAGCCTGGCGCAGTGGTCTTTCCCATCAAGGCAAACGGCCCTCATCTGTGAAGCAGCGAAGCTTCCTTTAGGGGCCAGCAGCCGGTGAGCAGCCAGAAGGGCAGGGCGGGGGACAGAGGCAGAGGAAGCCCAGGTCCCCAAGCCAGGCACCCAGACACCTAGCTTCCCACCCAAGGCACTCGTGAGGGAACCTGCTCCAGCCCAGCCACCCCTCCTTCCTGGTGGACACAGAAGGAACAAAGGCCTGGGCCGCGTGGCCCAAATGCCCCAGGAACCCCAGGAAGAGGCGGTGAATGGCAGCAGGGTGGCAGTGTGTCTGGGTCCCCTGCCAGGGGCCGCTCAGCTCTCACCACCCTGCAGACACGGGCGCCCGCAGTGCCGACCTCTCACCTCTCAACACAGCCTAGAGGCCGGGCACCCGTGGCTCACGCCCATCATCCTAGCTACTCAGGAGGCTGAGATCTGAGGATCACAGTTCAAAGCCAGCCCAGGCAGAAAAGTCCAATAAACTCAGGAAAAACTAGAAGGGGTGCTGTGGCTCAAGTGGTAGCATGCTAGCTTTGAGCACGGAGAGGCTCAGTGAGGACAGGCCCCAGGCCCCAGGTTCAAGTCCCAGGACTGGTACAAAAAAAGAAAAAAAGGGCCAAGAAAGAAGGTCCATAGTTCAAGTCCTCCTATGAGAAAGACGGGGGCACTCTAGACATCTGGATTTTTCTGTACCTCCAGATTACTAAACACTAGCTGCCCTATGGTAAGGCAAACCCTAGCAAAACGCCAGGCGGTGCAGTAGTTGAAAGCCGCACCCACAGGCTTTACTCAACACAGCCACGGAGTCCTGAGCCAGGAAGCCGGGGAGGGGTCGCACTGGGCCCAGGCTGGCAGAGCTGCACCCCTCGCTGTGTCTACACACTGTTCTAGAGGAGCCCAAGGACCCTGTGCACGTCTACTGACCTCAAAGCCCAAAGCTCAGTGTCCAGAGCCAGGTCTTCCCATGGTCCCCAGGGCCTGCCAAGGCAATCTCCCCACCCCCGCTTTACATCCTCAGCCCCAAGTCTGGCCGACAACAGCATGCCTGTCCAGGGGCCTCTAGGAGGGGTCTTCCTCCTGCCCACCCTTGGAACAGGTGTTTGTTCCTCATAGCCAGGTGGGAGACCAGACTCTGGACACGGGTTTGCCCCAAGGGTTCCTCTTGGTTCCCGAGAGCCCCTCCCTTTGCGAGCACCCCTCAGCTGTCAACCAGAAACCAAAAGCAAAGTGTGCCCCATCGAGCCACGGCGGCAGCTCCAGCCAATCTCCTACACACCGTGTGCAGACCTCTCCAGAAATGGAGACCAGGCCTCTCCACACACACGCCTTCCTCCAGCGGTGTGCCCAGCCCGGGCTCACCCCTCCTCCCCCACACGCACGCACACACGCCAGTCCCCCCAGAACACCTGGTCTCTGTCCACGCTTCCCATCTCTGCACGGTACGAGGAACGGCGTCTGTTTAGAGGCACCTAGGGATGCTGGCCGTGGAATAAGCCCGGCGGCTGTCTAAGGCAGGTGGCCCAAGGGATGGCCTCCCCCAGGGACTCTGTGAGGAGCACCCACTGGGAGCACTGGGTATCTCCTCCTGGTCCTATGCACATGCGCACTGCAGGAGATCCTCTTGACTCACAGAGGTAGGCAAAGGACGCCGGCAAGGGCAAGACCGTTCGGGGACCCCCACTGTGTACCTGAGGGACCCGTGAGCACCGCGAGAGGTCAGGCAAGGACACCCAGCTGACACTGTAAACTCGGGAAACACAGAGGCAGGCCCCACTGCAGGGCCTGCCCCCCTGCCCCGGGAGCTCACCCTCCCTCAGGTCCCTCCAAAGCCATGTCTGAGCCACATCTGCCTCCCTAAGGCCTCCTCAATTTGTACCACAAGCCCGAAGACAAACCCTGTAAGCTCTGGCCCACTTCTGGGAATGTATTCTGGAGTGGAAAAATGAGACGTACAGAAAGATTTATGTTCTCGGATACTTGCATCAGTGCTCACATTGCAACACTGGAAATAATCCCTGCGTACACACAGGCTCCTAAACCCAGATGCCGAGGTCCTGCAGTCATCAAAATCACATTTTGGAGAGGAGAACTGCTGAGAATATTTAAGTAAAAATAGCAGGATATAAAAAAAAATCCTAATTTCATGTCATGTCACACACACATGTGCAGTTTACACGTACACCCCGCTCACACCCAGCCGAAAATGGCTCCAGACGAAGTCAAGTCACACTGTATATTCTTCATTAGATCTTCCTGCCGCATTCCCGTGGACCAGCACTAAATGTGGGTGGCTAGGATTTTCAGACACTAAAACAGTTGCGCTGTGTGTGTGTGTGTGTGTGTGTGTGTTTATGTGTGTGTCCACACTGGGTCTTGAACTCGGGGCCTGGATGCTGTCCCTGAGCTTTTTCCTCTCAAGACTGGCACTCTACCATTTGAGCCACGTCTCCACTTTTCGCGTCTTGGTGGTTGAGTCTCATGGACTTTCCTGCCCCAGCTGGTGTGGAACTGAGATTCTTAGATCTCAGCCTCCTGAGTAGCTAGGACTCCAGGCGTGAGCCACAGCCTGGCTGACAGTTGTACTTTTGT